ACACTCTAAATCAAAACACCCATGCCACATCCAATGCCCCCCACTACATTACAAACTCCTCCCCCACAGCAACAACCCATAGTTCCTTACCAGGTCTCCCACTTCCCCAACCCCAATATACCTCCCAGACCACAGTCTTAGAAAAGAAGTTGAAGGTGTGGTATACAAATGCAGATGGAATAACAAACAAGTGGCACGAAAGAATCAAAGAGACATCCCCAGACATAATAGCACTCACAGAAACAAAACTCACCAGAATAATAACAGATTCAATCTTTCCATCCGGATACCAAATCCTCAGGAAAGACAGAGGGAGGAGAGGGGGAGGAGGAGTTGCACTGCTCATTAAAAACCAGTGGGATTTTGAGAAAATGGAAGGAATGGATGGCACGGGCGAAAGGGACTACTTAGCAGGAACAATCCAGTCTGAGGGACATAAGGTGATAATTGCAGTAATGTACAACCCACCACAGAACTGCAGGAGGCCAAGAGAAGAATACGATGAGAGCAACAGAGCAATGATCGACACACTAGCCGAGGTGGCCAGGAGAGCACACATGGGGGAGCAAAGTTACTAGTTATGGGTGATTTCAATCACAAGGAGATTGACTGGGAAAACCTGGAGCCCCATCTGGGTCCCAAAACATGGAGAGCCAAGATGATGGATGTGGTACTGGAAAACCTCATGCATCAACATGTTAGAGACACTACCAGAGAGAGAGGAGAGGATGAACCAGCAAGGCTGGACCTTGTATTCACCATGAGTATTTCGGACATCGAGGGTATCTTTTAAAAAAGGGCCCTGGGAGCTAGTGATCATGTGGTTCTGGCTTCGACTAATATTTTGACCCAAATGGAGAGAGTGAGGAATAGGCGGGGGAAAAAAACCAAACTAAAAAGGGGGAAAAATCAGGCAAAAGAACTTCCTTAAAGAATTCAGTGGGAGAGGGAACTGACAGGAAAACCAGTACAAAAAATATGGTATGTAGAAAACAAAATGCAAGGAGGCAGAGGAGATGTTTTTTCCCAAGGGGAAACGAAATAATGGGAAGAACAGAACGAGCCCTTGGTTCATCAAAGGTGTAGGGGGGAAAAAAACTAGGTGTCTAGAGAAGGGAAAAGGGGTACAAAAGAAGAAAAACTCAGGAAAAAAAGAAATAAACCGAAGAGCCAAAAAAGAAATGCACAGTAAAAAGGGGAGGCTCAAGACAATAGAAAATGTGCTCAAAAGTAAAGATGCCCCGAAGCTGTTGTACAGACCTCATTTCAGGGGGGAAAGACCTTGGGGGACCATAAACCGGCACATCACCGGGGCAACATCAACCAATAACGCTGCAGCTCGGGGGGCCTGGCAAACCTGAGAATAGCTTTCCCGATCCTTAATGGAATCGTTAAGACACTGTAACTGTGTATGTTAGGCCCAAGGAGTATGCGCACCAGTCGGGAAACCCACATGGTCACCCACGTCAAAAGTTAGAGAAAGTACAAAGGTTTCAACAAGGCTATCCTAGAGCTAAAAGGGAATGCGAAAGGGGAAAAAGGTTAAAGGAAATGGACTGACGACACTGGAGGACAAAAGGGGTCAGGGGAGACATATAACGACTAAAAGATACTGCGGGGAATAGACAAGGGGGAAGAGATAGGATTTCCAGAGAGGGGAACGGGGAAAAAGGGGTCACAACGGGAAGCTGAAGACTCAGACGAGCCCACGGGGACGTTAGGAAGTATTTCTTCAGTCATGGGTTTGCAGCAAGTAAAATGCCTAGCAAGTAAAAGTAGTGGGGGGCAGGAACCATACTAGTTTTAAAAAAAGGTATAACAAAGTCGGAAGCAGAGAGAGGAGGGATCCAGTAGCGATCAGTAAAAGAGGGGGGGCCAGGAGCTGAGTTCACCCCTGCAACCACAATTAGGTGGTAAAATTAGGTGAGACACACAACACACCACACAACAACACATAAGAGGTATGCCCTACGAGGAGAGGTTAAGGGAAATAAAACCTGAGACACGGGGACGGGGGAAGATAGGGGGACATGAAAAACGCATCAAAATATGGGGAATTGCGGTTTGGACAAAGATAGGATTTCCAGAGTTTGGACACATAAACAAGGGACACATTTTTGGAAGCTGAAGAACGTGAATCCGGGATGTTGGGAAAAGTTTTTTCTTCGCCCAATAGTCAGTAGTGAAATAGTTTGGGAAGCGAGTAGTGGAGGCGATCCATCATAGCTTTAAGCAGAGGTATGTTAAAGCTCACGGCTCAGGGAGGGTGATAGTAGCGATCAAAGAGGCGGGCAGGAGCTGGGACTCGCCCCCCGAAACCCTCAAAGGTAGTAAACTGGTGAGACACGCACCTCACCACACACAACGCCACACAACAAGCACACGCACGCACACACACCCTAGGGGGGTCACGGGGTTTTGAGCTCGTGTTTTGGTGGTAAATTTTGACTGTCCCAAAAGGAATAGAGTGTGGGATATAGGGTGTGCACGCATAAAGTGCATAACCACTTAACCCCCCAAAAAAGGAAATATAAGTGTGACAGAAAAGAAAAAAAAGGAAAATTTTGGGCTGAGTGTTTAGTGAAGGCTTTGGAAGGGTGAAGGTTGTGGTCAGGCCTAATAGTGTTGCCATAATAACGGAGTGGGCTTTTTTGAAGAATAAGTGCGACTCAAGACCAGGGAGATAAGGATATTATAGATGTGTCAGTAAATACAGTGGTGAGTGAAAAAATTAGAAGGCTGAGATATAGTGCATACAGGACTTTAGTGGAAAAAATTACCGAGAAAAAAATCAAACTTCAACTTCTGGGACAGGACAGCCCTGCAACGTTACTCCACTCCCCAGCCGCAAGTAATATTCCCTTTTGAGTTGCAGGGGTCAATAGTATCTGTCTCTAGGGGAAATTTGGGGGGGCACTTCCTCGAGCTATCAGATTAGAATAAGCAGCATTTTGGAAATTTAATAAAATTTAGGGTACAGCATATAGGCGAAGCAGTGTATTTATTTTTTAACGTAATTTTTTAAAAGCATAAGACAGTACAGTGGGGAACCAAGAGACGGGTAATTACAATACATATGTAGTACAACGTGGAAATAAGGACTGTTTACATAAACATATGCACCACACTGGTTTAGGGGCGCTTGCTGTTAGGACTTGAATAGCTGTAGCCCCACAACACACACACATACACACACCCACCACCACCACCAAACACCACCACACACACACACAACACACAACCACAAACAAATTACCCACACCCAAAACAACAATCCACATTTATTTTTTAATTTTTATAAAAACCACCACCTTTACACCAACCAAAACCCCCACCACACCCACACACACACACCACCAAAACCTCACGCACACACAAAAAGGTTTTACCCTTCCGTGAAAATGACCCATAACCCTTCCCCCCCCCCCCCTCTCTTCCCTTCCCCTTCCTCTTCTTCTCCTCTCTCTCCTCTCTCCTTTTCTCCCTTCTCTCCCCTTCTTTCTCTTCTCTTTCTTCTCTTTTCTCTTTCCCCCCCTTTCTTCCCCTTTCTCTCCCCCCCTTCCCTTCCCTCTTTTTTTTCTCTCTCCTCTTCTTTTATTCCTACCCCCTCTCCTTACCCTTTCCCTCTCTCTACTTTCTCCCCCCCTTTTTCCCTTCTTTTCCCCCCTCCCTTTTACTTTTCCCCCTTTTCCTTCCCTATCTCTCACTCTCTCCCCCCTTTTTTTTTTCTCTTTCTCTCTCTCTTTCACTAAAAAAAAAATGGTTGGGACTCACAGGAATCAGGGTCAGAGACAAAGGGATGGTAGGGAGGGAATGGATGGAGGGAAAAAGTGGGGGAAAAAGGGAAAAACAAGAATGGGAAGAAAAAAAAGGAGAGCTTTCTGAAAAAATGGAGAAAGAGCTCTCTGTGAAATGGGAAAAAAGGTTGGAGAAGGGGAGAAGAAATTTGGGGGGCAAAGTCGAAACCCGCAGTAGCCAGGGTAAGGTCCTGAATTTGAGGGGAAACGGTAAGCAAGTCCCGGGGTAGTGACCAGAGAAGACAACCATACAAAGATGAAAAGGCTGAACAGGAAAGGGAAGGAGATAGAATTATTTCTAAGGTATATCAGCCTGCAAAGAAGGGCCAGGGGGTGGAGGGAGAGCAGATGGGTGGAGAGGAGAGGGAGTAGGTCGAATGGGGCACAACCTCTACCCAAAACCACTGGGAAAACAAGGGAGAAAAGAACCACAACAGACAGGAACCAGAGTCACGAGGGAAGGCAATGGGGGGAAGGAAAGGGCAAAAACGTGATTATCCCCGGGCTTCGGGAAGGAGACGAAAGGAAACACAGAAAGGGGGCAGGAGAAAGAAAAGGGGATTGAGAAAAACATCACAGAAAAAGGGGGAAAAAGACATGGGTGGATTTTAAAAAATTTTCAGGAATAGGGGGTTACTTGAAGGGGGAAACCCCGATCAAGCGATTCCAGGAAGAAACGTGGGACAGGTCCTCAAGAGAAACCCGGTTGAAAAGCCGGGAAAAGTACAAGAAGGTGTTTCTAGACAGGACAGAACACAAACAGAGAGATAGCCTAGGGAGGGAAAAAAACGAAAGGAGCTAGGAAAAGAGACAAGGATGGAAACCGCAGAGCACAAGGGGAAGCACACACACAACTATCCTCAGAAAACCCCCAACCCATCCACCATCCCAACACACAATCAAACCATACCCACGCTTCCACCAACCCCCCCCCCAAAAATCCCACAGTATGCTACCAGGTCTCCCACCCCCAAGGCCCCCCAAACTACAGTGTTGGAAAAAAAAAACTGAAGGGATGGTACACAAACGCTGATGGAATAAAAAACAAGTGGGGGGAGTGGCACGAAAAGTCAAAGAGGGATCACCAGACTCATAGGACAAGAAACCAAGCTTACAGGTTGAAAAAGATGCCCTCTTTTCCCGCGGATACCAGATCTGAGAAAAGCAAAGGAAAGGTGGGGGGGGGAGTGGCTTGGATCAAACCCGATGGAGTTTTGATGAGCTGGGGAGAGGAGACAGCGGGGAAGAAGTGATTCATAGCGGGAAAAACTTCCTCGGTGGTCCCAAGGTGTAATTGCGTGATGTATAACCCCCCACAGAACAGCAGGAGGCAAGGCAAGGTATGCGAAGCAATAGAGCAATGGTTGCAACGGTGCAGTGGGCCCGAAGAGCTCAGCATGCAGGGGGATTTAACCCCCAAAAGGGGACGAATGGGAGAACTTGTAGCCCCATGGGGGCCCAAAAACTGGAGGGGCCCAAAATGATGGAGGTGGTACGGAAAAATTCATGTACCAAAAAAGTAAGGGATCTACCAAAAAAGAGAGAGGAGAGGATGAGCCGCAAGACGGACTTGATTCACCTTGACGTGCAGATATTGAGGATATCACATATGAAAGACCCCTTGGGGCCCCGCGACTGTGGTTTTGAGCTTGAAATTTACAGTAGAGCTACAAGTGGAGGGTTTTTGGAGCAGAAAGGCCATAACAAATGAAAACCCAAAATACAGGAAAGGGGACTACACGGGAATGAGGAATTTTGAAAGAGGTTAGTGGGACGAGAACTGGGGAAAGGGGAAACCAGTTAATGAGATGAAATATGTAGCAACAAGTGCAAGGGGTGAAGAGAGGCTTGTACCCAAGGGAAACAGGAATATGAAAAGCCAGGAGGGAAACCATGGGTTTACCCCAAAGGTTTTCAAGGAGGCAAAAACCAAGTGGTAGGGAATGGGGAAAAAATTAGAAGGGAAAAGGGCCCCGGAGAATAAGGGGCATCGTAGGCCAGAAACGAATTGCACGTAAGAAGGGAGGCCCAACGACAATATGAAAACGACATAGCAGCGAAAGCCAAATCTGACCCAAAGCTGTTATACAGCCATATCAGGAGGAAAACAACCGTCAAGGACCAGGTAATCAGGCTAAGGAAGGAAGGAGGAGAGACAACAAGAAATGACCGTGAAGTATGTGAGGAACTCAACAAGAGATTCAAAGAAGTGTTCACAGAGGAGATAGAAGGGGCTCCAGAGGGACGGAGAGGTGTGGCACATCACCAGGTGCTGGACACGGTACACACAACCGAGGAAGAAGTGAAGAGGCTTCTGAGTGAGCTAGATACCTCAAAGGCAATGGGGCCAGATAACATATCTCCATGGGTCCTGAGAGAGGGAGCAGAGGCGCTATGTGTACCCTTAACAACAATATTCAATACATCTATCAAAACAGGGAGATTGCCTGAGGCATGGAAGACAGCAAATGTGGTCCCAATCTTTAAAAAAGGAGACAGACATGAAGCACTGAACTACAGACCAGTGTCACTGACATGTATAGTATGCAAAGTCATGGAGAAGATTGTCAGGAGAAGAGTGGTGGAACACCTAGAAAGGAATGATCTCATCAACAGCACCCAACATGGTTTCAGGGACGGGAAATCCTGTGTCACAAACCTACTGGAGTTCTATGACAAGGTAACAGCAGTAAGACAAGAGAGAGAGGGGTAGGTGGATTGCATTTTCTTGGACTGCAAGAAGGCATTTGACACAGTACCACACAAGAGATTAGTGCAAAAACTGGAGGACCAAGCAGGGATAACAGGGAAGGCACTACAATGGATAAGGGAATATTTACCCCTCTCTCACCTATGGAATTTGTGCATGGGGCTCAACAACAACTAACCATCTCAGACCACTAATTACCAACAAAAGGCTGCAGTTAGAATGATAACAAATTCTCACTACAGGCAGACACACTCCACCAATATTCAATACACTAAACCTACTCACCATACAAAACATCCATACTTATTACTGCACTTATTACATACATAGAACACTTAACTCTGATATTAACCCTCCCCTCAAACATCTCCTTGCCATCCTCAACAGAACACATGACCATAACACAAGGCACAGATCACTCTTTGATGTTCCTCGTGTCCATCTCACACTATGCAAAAACTCAATGCACATAAAAGGCCCTAAAATCTGGAATTCATTACCTGTAAATATAAAAGAAACACTACCTGTTTATAAATTCAAGTCTCTTCTCAAAGATCACTTACTCACTCAAAACCAAATAAATATTGAATAACTGAACCTTATAAATTGTATATCCTATATGTTACTCACAATTATATCACACAAATGTTAAACCTAGGACCCAATCTAACTTTATTATTTTTTAAATACACTACCTAACAGAATACTCCATACGACTGAATGTACAACAATGCATGCAACCATATGACCTGTCTTTGTAATACTCATTTGTGCTTTATAGTTATCTGTTTACAATAATGTTTTATCACTGATTTCATCATTGCTTAGTTAATCTTAAGTTAATTTTAAGCCAGCCCGTAATGCTATGCATATAAGTGGCTTTGGCATGCTGCTCTTACGTGTATTTTTTGTACCTCTGTATGTATGCTTAAATTACTAAATAAATAAATAAATAAATATTTGTCAGGAAGACAGCAGCGAGTAATGGTACGTGGCGAGGTGTCAGAGTGGGCACCTGTGACAGCGGGGTCCCACAGGGGTCAGTCCTAGGACCAGTGCTGTTTCTGGTATTTGTGAACGACATGTCAGAAGGAATAAACTCTGAGGTGTCCCTGTTTGCAGATGACGTGAAGTTGATGAGAAGAATTCATTCGATCGAAGATCAGGCAGAACTACAAAGGGATCTGGACAGGCTGCAGACCTGGTCCAGCAATTGGCTCCTGGAGTTCAATCCCACCAAGTGCAAAGTCATGAAGATAGGGGAAGGGCAAAGAAGACCGCAGACAGAGTACAGTCTAGGGGGCCAGAGACTACAAACATCACTCAAGGAAAAAGATCTTGGGGTGAGTATAACACCAGGCACATCTCCTGAAGTGCACATCAACCAAATAACTGCTGCAGCATATGGGCGCCTGGCAAACCTCAGAACAGCATTCCGACATCTTAATAAGGAATCGTTCAGGACCCTGTACACCGTGTATGTTAGGCCCATATTGGAGTATGCGGCACCAGTTTGGAACCCACACCTAAAGAAACTAGAGAAAGTGCAAAGGTTTGCCACAAGACTAATCCCAGAGCTAAGAGGTATGTCCTACGAGGAGAGGTTAAGGGAAATCAACCTGACGACACTCGAGGACAGGAGAGATAGGGGAGACATGATAACGACTTACAAAGTACTGAGAGGAATTGACAAGATGGACAAAGACAGGATGTTCCAGAGACTGGACACAGGAACAAGGGGACACAGTTGGAAGCTGAAGACAGATGAATCACAGGGATGTTAGGAAGTATTTCTTCAGCCACAGAGTAGTCAGGAAGTGGAATAGTTTGGGAAGAGATGTAGTGGAGGCAAGATCCATACATAGCTTTAAGCAGAGGTATGATAAAGCTCATGGTTCAGAGAGAGTGACCTAGTGGCGACCAGTGAAGAGGCGGGGCCAGGAGCTTGGACTCGACCCCTGCAACCTCAACTAGGTGAGTACAACTAGGTGAGTACACACACACACACACACACACACACACACACACACACACCACACCACTACACACACACACACACACATCACCACACACACACACACACACACACACACACACACACACACACACACACACACCTGGAATGGAACAAGAGTATAAATGCCAACCAGCACAGTTTTATGGAAGGCAAATCCTGTGTCACAAACCTACTTGAGTTTTATGATAAAGTAACAGAAGGAAGACACGAGAGAGAGAGGGGTGGGTTGATTGCATTTTCTTGAACTGCAAGAAGGCCTTTGACACAGTTCCTCACAAGAGATTAGTGCAGAAGCTAGAGGATCAGGCGCATATAACAGGAAGGGTACTACAATGGCTCAGAGAATACCTGACAGGGAGGCAACAACGAGTCATGGTGCATGATCAGGTATCACAGTGGGCACCTGTGACGAGCGGGGTCCCACAGGGGTCGGTCCTAGGACCAGTGCTATTTTTGGTATATGTGAACGACATGATTGAAGGTATAGATTCAGAAGTGTCCCTGTTCGCAGATAATGTGAAGTTAATGAGGAGAATTATATTAGATGTGGATCCAGGACTTCAAAGAGACCTGGACAGACTGGACACCTGGTGTAGCAACTGGCTTCTCGAACTTAACCCCGCCAAATGGAAAGTCATGAAGATCGGGGAAGAGCACAGAAAACCGCAGACGGAGTATATAGGCTAGGTGGTCAAAGACTGCAAACCTCGCTCAAAGAGAAAGATCTTGGGGTGAGTATAACACCGAGCATGTCTCCGGAAGCACACATCAACCAGGTAACTTCTGCAGCATATGGGGGCCTGGCAAACCTGTGAACAGCGTTCCATAACTTAGTAAGAAATCGTTCAAGACACTGTACACCGTGTATGTCAGGTCCATATTGGAGTATGCAGCACCTGTTTGGAACCCACACTTGATCAAGCACGTCAAGAAATTAGAAAAATTGACATGATAACGGTATACAAAATACTGCGTGTAATAGACAAGGTGGACAGAGACAGGATGTTCTAGAGAGGGGACACAGAGACAAGGGGCCACAATTGGAAGTTGAAGACCCAGATGAGTCAAAGGGATGCTAGGTAGTATTTCTTCAGTCATAGAGTAGTCAGGAAGTGGAATAGCCTAGCAAGTGATGTACTGGAGGCAGGAACCATACATAGCTTTAAGATGAAGTATGATAAAGCTCATGGAGCAGGGAGAGAGAGGACCTAGTAGCACTCGGTGAAGAGGCGGGCCAGGAGCTGAGTATCGACCCCTGCAACCACAATTAGGCGAGTACAGTTAGGTGAGTACACACACACACACACACACACACACACACACACACACACACACACACACACACACACACACACACACACGTCAGGCCCATGCTAGAGTATGCAGCACCAGTTTGGAGCCCACACCTGGTCAAACACGTCAAGAAATTAGAAGTAAGGGGAATGTCCTACGAAGAGAGGTTAAGGCAACTCAACCTGACAACACTGGAGGACAGGAGGGATAGAGGGGACATGATAACAATATATAAAAT